CTACTATACAATATTCCTTAAAACGCCATTGATATTATCATGTTTTGTCGATTGTATACTCAGCATTTGTCGGTAGGACAAAACTGCTTTCATTTAATCACCACAGAGAACTTTCTCTGACTGCCATCAGCATGGCTGATGCTAAACTCCAGGAGAGCAAAACACTAAGCCTTCTTGGCTTTACGTTTTCTATTGATATGAAGTGAAAAGATTATACTGAATTAATTGCTGGGGTCTGTTAACTAAGAAAGTTGTTTCATTGTGTCATAGGAATTTTCTCTCGTCAGAATCCATCTTGCACATTTATATATCTACATTTTGCCCGTGTCTTGTATATCGCTGCCATATCTGGTCAGGTTTTCCGGCTATATAACTCGAGAAGTGTCTGCAATTTTATCTATCCTGACCTGGCATCACGACTTTAGTCACTTTCTCACCGACATGAAGTCTCATCCCGCTGACATTTCTACAAATATATTTTCATGGCAACTGTTCGAAGAGCATTTTTTTCCTTAGGAACTCGACTGTATGAATTGAAGCGCGCTACTAGATTGGCAATTAGGCCTCACTGTTTTACTGTTGAACTAGCTAGATGCAACCGTCAGTTCTATTCTAATAGTTCCTTTTCTTGCACACCACACCTGTGGAACTCCCTTCAGATTTCTTGCTTCCCTGATAACTACAATCTTCAAAAATTTAAATGCAACGTCAATCGCCATCTTTTGTCTTGCTGAACCCTGTTCCATTATTGTCTCTTTTCTTACTTCTCATTCTTTTTCACCCACTGTCACTCCCAGGCTTCCGACCATACACGTTGACACACCGGTTCCTGTACAATCACCAAAGTTAAGCAATGTCGAGCCTGGTCAGTACCTAGATGGGTGACCGCTTGAGAATACCAGGTGCTGTAAACTTGGATGTGCGGGTGGTGTAATAGATAATGGCTGGCAATTGTTAATCGGAGAGCCGAGTTCCAAATCCCGTTGGGTTCGTTGTATTCACTTACGGGCCAATATACTTGGGAAAGGTATGAATCCTCTAGCTATGGGTTAATTAGTAAAACTTCTATGACTAAACTATTATTGTCTAAAAAAAAAAGAATTATTCCAATCTACAAATATTTTCTGGCTTTAAATAACCTTCAAAAGGTTGATAAGCCGTAAAAACTGAATCAATCAATATCTACATAAAATGTAAGAAAATATGTACACTACAATATTAATGTGTGCGTAAATTCTAGGGGGTTCCATGCCACAAAACTGCTATGCCTTGCTAGTTTTCTAAAAAGTAAGAGCCAAAAGGCCAACATTTGCAACAGAGAATCATACGGCAACTGTAGAGCGGCCTTTAGTGAAGCTGTCTGGGTTTGTTTACCGCCTAGTAACAAATATTCTGTGAATTAATGCAGCCAGACAAATGAAAGTTGGTTTTGGCAATTGTAAACAACATTTGCTGAAACATTCTTACGGGTGTTGCTGCATATGTCCTAGTAAAAAAAAAAAAAATGGCAAAACGTTAGCTACGTAAAGACAGAGTTACCACCTGTCTAATTTCACTAACAGCACAACAAATGGCGCTATGTCAATTATGGGAGGTTTTGCCGCATCTTCGACGCTTTAATGTTACACAATAAAATAATGTTGAATTGCTTTTAGTCGTCGATGAAATTTCTAAAATTGTTGGTGAATGTCATTCTATTTTGAAATTTTTACACGCATTCCTTTTTTTTTCATAGTCTTTTCATCACAGATATGTTTCATTTATTATGAGAATATATGAGTCTCGATTCATCGGCACTAGTTCAAAATAGGGCGGTAGTGCTGTTGCTTAGCTAAGCTCCTGACCACCACAGCCAATGGCCGTAGGGCCGTCCCGCAGCTAGGCACCTGACCACAGCTAATGGTTGTAGGACTGTTGCTATGCTACTGACAACAAGCAATAGCCGTAGGCCCCGGTCCGCATCTAAGCACCTGACAACAGCCAACAGCCGTAGGGCTGTTGTGCCACTAAGCTTCTGACCAAAGCCAATAGCCGTAGGTTCGTTACGCATACCTTTTTTTTCATAGTCTTTTCATCACAGATATGTTTTCTTTATTATGAGAACATATGGGTCTCGATTCATCATCGGCAGTGGTTTAGGTTTAGTGACCGATGACAGGGTGTGGTCATAGGCCGTTGCGCGGCTAAGCACCTTACCAGTTCTTACAACGTACCTGGGTTGAAAGCCGCTCAGGCTTTCATTTATTCATAGTGTGTCTTGAACCATTAAACCTGGAGGAGTCGCCTTCTAAGTTGAACCGCAGCCAATGGCTGTAGGGCCGTTGCGCAACTAAGCTCCTGGCCAAAGCCAGTTGTCGTAGGAACGTTGCATAGCTATGCTCCTGAACACAGCCAATAGTCATAGGGCCACTTCGCAGCTAAACTCCGTAGGACATCGTTGCATATATATATATATATATATATATATATATATATATATATGTATGTATGTGTGTGTGTGTGTGTGTGTATATGTATGCACACTTTTTCTCTACACACTTACAAGGTATATATATATATATATATATATATATATATATATATATATATATATATACCTTGTAAGTGTGTAGAAAAAAGTGTGTATATATATATATATACCTTGTAAGTGTGTAGAGAAAAAGTGTATAATATATATATATATATATATATATATATATATATATATATATATATATATATGCAAACGTGTGCATACATGTATGCATAATGCCTGATAACAACAATACTACGGAAGCTAAATAGAAAACATCATTTTATTATTATATATATATATATATATATATATATATATATATACCTTGTAAGTGTGTAGAGAAAAAGTGTGCATACATGCACGTATATATATATATATATGCACTACAGGCAATAGTGGGACCAACCCATTAAATGAGATATTTATTGAATTAGAGATAAATTTTCAGTAACTACAAGTTATTTACTTTTTATTTTCAGTTTTTCTCCAGCCTCCTCTTACAACTAAAAAGTTTAAATATGTATTCGCCCGTCTACTACACTTATTAAATAACTAAATTTGAATGACGTTTCATATTTAGCTTCCGTAGCCTAATCAATGAGATACTGTTCCTATCAGACAGTTTTTCAAAGATAAAATGTTAGATTTCAAATATCATCGAAAATTTCTTCTTTTTTCTGCTCCATGTCACTTAATCCTCGTAAAATGTAAAATGATCGTAGCGTTGCTAAAAAAAAGAAACAATGACGCAAGTGAAACAATATAAAAAAAGAACTAGTCAGAAATTTATAATAACGGCAATAGTCCATCTAAAAACATCAACAAGTCTATTACATCTACTACTACTAGGAGTAAACAACCAACATGAAAGAAAAACAATGCAAATATTAAAATAATGGCAATTTTTTAACAAATTCAATCAAGTTTAGACTGTTATATCTGCTACTATTAGACGTTTTGTGACGTACAGTGACCATTAATAATTAAGTATAAATCAAGACTTCATTGTTAAATAAAACAGTATTTAATTACAAGCGCAAATAAATGCTTAAGAAGAACAAAGAAATAAAAGTCAACCAAAGTTAATTAACCATTTCAACGAATACCTTGTTAGTAGCGCGGCTCGGCTTAACATCCGGTAAATCCTAAATCAAAAGCCCAAATCATTGATGCATAATAATTCACACTAATTCGACTGGATAGTTCCACTCAATAGTCACTCAGTAATCACTGCAGTCAGTAACCTGACACCGCTATTTATACACCTGGTGGAAAACATATATTCATAAGTCCAGAGTGTCACGTTCGAACCTTGATATCAGTAGTTACTCATTTTCTTTCTATATAAAATATTTATATACACACATAAAGATAAAGTCACACACGCCCTACTTTTATAAATGAAATGGTACAATACATGAAATGCATATTATGACTAATAGGTGTTTAGTATAATTATTAGATATGAGAAGGTATTAAAAATAAATAACATCGACATATATACAAATATAAACTAATTTGAGCTTGTTATTATACACTCATACAAAAATAAAATAAAAATAATAAACATTCAATTAAAAATAAAATAACAAGATGAATTAAACACGGAAGATATTAGTCTTCAATTCAAATCAGTCTGATTCAACACGTTTCAGAAGGTATTTGTTTTGAGGTCTACATGTGACTATTAATTCGTTTCTCTTGTTTAATAAATTAGGGTTATTTAAATGTTTTAAAATAATTAGTTGGTGTTTGTGTATATATAAGAAGTCAACAACCAGAAGAGATATATCAAGCAAAAGTCGTCAAAAATGCATACTTGAGGATGCTTAAATTAAGAGCTTTTTCATCTGGCAAGAATTCTTAATTGACCCATGACTAAACATGTAGCTTGTGACTATACACAATCTAGTAACATTGGGGCACCTCGAAGTGGTGTAATGGTTAGCGAGCTTATCTTACCAGAACAATTACGACTGAATAGTGAGTTCGATCCTCACTGGGTGCCTCATACTTTCGGCCTTGTGCCACATCTAAACTACGATTGAAAAAACACTAGGCCACCTCGAGGCGGTGTAATGATTAGCAATCGTGTCTGGCTAGAGTGAGTGCCCTATACTTTCGGCCTTGTGCCACATCTAAGCTAGGATTGGGAAAAACACTAGGGCACCACGAGGTGGTGCAATGGTTAGCAAGATTGTCTCGCTAGAACAATTACGACTGAGTAGTGAGTTGGATCCCCACTGGATGCGCGATACTTTCGGCCTTGTGCCACATCTTAGTTACGCTTGGAAAACCACTAAACACAATCTAATAACATTGATCGCTACACGGATGCACGGTGTGTGACACCTTGTGAGAATTAATCTTATTACAGCATTGATATTCTGAAAGAATCGTTTGACAATGTACATTGTTTTAGAGTAAAAAAAATTATTCAGTTTGTTGCAAATGTTTATTTTCTTCTTTTCATTTTTTTATGAAGCGTGTAATCGAAATGCAGCCGACATCATCTTTGTGTTAGATTCATCGAGCAGCATCTGGATTGTGGACTACAGAAAACAGCTCAAATTCGTGGCGGATGTCGTCGATAGTTTCAACGTAGGAAAAGGCCAGTCTGAAGTCCGCGTCGGCGCCATAACCTTCAGTGACCGTGCCTACCTGGAGTTCTCTGTCGACCAATATGCCGATTCGAACCAGCTGAAAAACGCAATCGCCAGCATTGCCCACAGACAGGGAAGAACTAATACGGCCGACGCCCTCAGGTTACTTAAAAAGCAAGTAGAACCTGATTTAAAGAACAGCAGGGGACCCATTATAGCCATAGTGATTACAGATGGCCAATCGACAGACCCAATTGCTACGAAAAAAGAGGCTAAGAAACTGCACCAGCTTGGAATCAATGTTTACGCTATCGGCGTTGGAGATTCCCGGATGTATGATATTGACGAACTGAAAGCCATCGCCAGCGATCCAGAAAACGGAGTCTATACGGTAGCCAGTTACTCAGCTCTTACAGACATCGCCCAGAAGTTCCAAATTCAGCCATGTGAAGGTAAGTTTTATTAATTACATTAAGGTATTCAGTATCTGTCTATATTTCTGAGATGAGGTATTATGTACACTATTTACATTATTCGGACTGTTGTCCTCATCTTTGTCGCCATATTTATTACAACGTTTCGGCCTTTCAGTATCTGTCTATATTTCTGAGATGAGATATTATGTACACTATTTACATTATTCGGACTGTTGTCCTCATCTTTGTCGCCATATTTATTACAAAGTTTCAGCCTTTGAGTATCTGTCCATATTTCTGAGATGAGGTATTATGTACACTATTTACATTATCTGGACTGTTGTCCTCATCTTTGTCGCCATATTTATTACAACGTTTCGGCCTTTCAGTATCTGTCTATATTTCTGAGATGAGATATTATGTACACTATTTACATTATTCGGACTGTTGTCCTCATCTTTGTCGCCATATTTATTACAAAGTTTCAGCCTTTCAGTATCTGTCTATATTTCTGAGATGAGGCATTATGTACACTATTTACATTATTCGGACTGTTGTCCTCATCTTTGTCGCCATATTTATTACAAAGTTTCAGCCTTTCAGTATCTGTCTATATTTCTGAGATGAGGCATTATGTACACTATTTACATTATTCGGACTATTTTCCTCATCATTGTCGCCATATTTATTACAACGTTTCGGCCGTTGTACGCTCCGGCCTTCTTCATAATAATACCCAGAAATTCATACATTGATGTCCTCAAGGACACATGGCACAGTGGATAAAGACGTTGGTTAGATCCAGTGAGAGGACCCAACGAGTGTGAGTTCAATACACGGTTAAGGCAGTTGAGAGGAATTAACAAGAGATAGCTGATAACTGACTTCCACATGGCACGTGGAACTAGAACAGTCTACCCCAGTGAGCGAAATAAAGGGTTCAGTTCGACATTCCTATCACCTGAAGAAGGCCAGAGCGTACAACGGCCGAAACATTGTAATAAATATGGCGACAAAGATGAGGACAATAGTCCGAATAATGTAAATAATGTCTAAGGTTTTCTTCTCTTATGTACTATATATCTTAAAAGCTTAGGCGATAATAGCTCTCCATGACGTCCTTCCAGCGGCCCGGTGGCTATCGTAACAATAGAAAGATCTTCACTTTCAATTCTTGATAGAGATGCTGTCAGTTCTTTCTGTCACTCTAGAAAGCACCTGACTTCATTTTGCAGGCTTTATCTTCGCTATAGTCAGGTTAGACCAAAAATAGAGTATCACTGTCATATATGGGCTGGAGTTGTTAAGTCTTCACTTTCAAGCCTTGATATTGTTCAAAATAATTTATGCAAGCGAAGGCTTATTCCCCCTCTCTGCGACCTTCCTATCGACGAAACGTCATAAGCTATTTTTATGTCAAATGTTCAGATGAGCGCTCCATTCATTCTTTCCACCAGTTCAGACCTTCACAGCTACGACAAGCCTCAGAGTCGAATCATACTAATTTATTCCCATCGCTACTCTATCGCTATTTCCATGTCAATTGTTCAGATGAGCGCTCCATTCTTTAGTTCTACACGTTCAGACTTTTATAGCTAGGAAACGCCAGGGTGTCAAATCATATTTATTTCTCTCGCTATTTCTGTGTCAAATGTTCAGATGAGCGCTCCATTCTTTCGTTCCACCTGTTTTGACCTCTACAACTACGGCACGTCACTTAGTCGAATCATATTCATTTCGTCCTATCGCTTCTCTATCGATATTTTCTGCTTTATCATTACAAGACTCAGATTAGACCAAAAATGGATTATTGCTGCCATATCTAGGCTGGTGCTACTCAATGTTCACTAGCCGGGTTGTTAGCTCGAAGCAAGCTAGACGAGTGATGGGGCTGCCACCTTGGCAGCCAACTAGGTGCTCTCCAAGCCCACTAATATGGAAGGGTGGCACTGGTGCAAATTGGGCTCATGCGATTGCCCATCACCACAACTTGTTCCCCACAGGGCGCCATCGTTCACCTCCTCTTCTTTTTATTCTCTTTCTTTGTACCGTGTCGCTTCAGGCTCTCCCCAATTTCCTATACTGTGTAGCTCCTGATAAATGCTTTTTTTTTTTTTTTTTGCTAACTCTCTTAAATTTTGTTCAGCGATCCATTTAATGGAACTTGGTAGGTTGGTTATGCGTATTTCCCCCCATCTCTCTTGAATTAATCTCTCCTGTGAGCATCAAATTTTCCTAGCATTCTTTCCTCATTATGTACACCGGAAATTTCAACTACCTCTTCCTAATGTTAGGTATAATTTTCGTTTTTTATTTTATTTAAAATTTCATGTTCAGTCAATGGTATTTCGAAATTCTGTAGATATTACGTAACAGTTCAGCACACTTTTCTTTGTTTTTGTTGCTTCAAGTCTCTTCTTCATATTTGAGGAGTCTGTCCAGCATTTAATACCATATATGAAGACAGATATCACATAATAGTTCAGTACTCTTTCCTTTGTTTCTGTTGCTTCAAATCTCTTCTTCATCTTTGAGGAGATTGTCCATCATTCACTGCCATATAGGAGGACAGATATCACGTAACAGCTCAGTACACATTTCTTTGTTTCTCTTGCTTCAAGTCTCTTCTTCATCTTTAGGGAGATTGTCCAGCATTCACTGCCATATAGGAGGACAGATATCACGTAACAGTTCAGTACACATTTCTTTGTTTCTCTTGCTTCAAGTCTCTTCTTCATCTTTGAGGAGATTGTCCAGCATTCACTGCCATATAGGAGGACAGATATCACGTAACAGTTCAGTACACATTTCTTTGTTTCTCTTGCTTCAAGTCTCTTCTTCATCTTTGAGGAGATTGTCCAGCATTCACTGCCATATAGGAGGACAGATATCACGTAACAGTTCAGTACACTTTTCTTTGTTTCTCTTGCTTCAAGTCTCTTCTTCATCTTTGAGGAGATTGTCCAGCATTCACTGCCATATAGGAGGACAGATATCACGTAACAGTTCAGTACTCTTTTCTTTGTTTCTCTTGCTTCAAATCTCTTCTTCATCTTTGGGGAGATTATCCAGCATTTACTGACATATAAGAGGGCAGATATCACGTAACAGTTCAGTACTTTTTTCTTTGAGACATCAGCTGTCAATCTCTTGTAATCAAGAGTTTTGAAGGTGCAGCCATATATCGCTGCATCACACTCATAGATATTCACAGATGATCGAAGTATACTCTTATGTACATAATTTATATGAAGTAAAGAATGATCGACCTGAGAAGATACCTGGGGTACACCTGTGTTGATGGTTAAGGACCCAGTTGACTGACCCTTAACAACTAACTTTATTGAGAATGCTCTTCCACTGATTCCATAGTTAGAGATCTTGTTGGAGAGATAGTAAAAAGACATACAGAGCTATAAAGGATAGGAAGTTGTGGAGAATTATAATCACCCACGTTCTGGAGGGGCAATCGCATGAAAGAAGACCCCTTATTAACTGGCTTATAAATGAAAACTGAATTTTTAATCTTTCGAGATATACATAGTGGATCAGAAATATCTCTTACATATAACCCCGGGGAATACCGACCACGTAATGGTAAGATGATAAGTGGCATTTCTAGGAGATAATGTAGCGGTGTTTCTACATCGCCTTGTAATAGTGCACTGGAATTATAATATAGTTCATAAACATAAGAACCACCGGTTAACGCTAATGATTAATCTTTGCTTGTTTCTTTTTCTAGAGGAAACTACAACCACAGCCAAGCCAACAACAACAGCGGCCCCAACAACAACAACAACAACAGCGGCCCCAACAACAACAACAGCTCCACCCCCGACGTTTCCAACAACCACCTTAAGGCCTACAGAAATGCCAGGTGAGATCTATTCTTTCAGTTTTCTTTTGTTATTTTCTTTTCTTCACGTGGGTTAAATATCAGGCCAGACTGGGCTCTCTAGCCATGATTGACAGCCAGTCTAAGTGAAGGAAAACTCTAACTTCACAAACCAGCCACCTGAAGCGGCACAGAGATGGTTAGATATGTGGCGCGGACATTATTGTCTGTAAAATGATAATAGGTTAGTTTTCAATCTCTCTCTTAATGTGTCGTGTTCCTTCAGGACGTGGGCGATGATGACTCTCCACAACTTCCTGACATTTTTCCTCATTATGTGCCCCCAAATTTTGATTATCTCTTCCTGGTGTTAAGTATAATTTTCCTTTTTGTTTCCATTTTCTCTAAAACCTCGTCGTTGGTCACATGTTCGGCCCATGGTATCCTCAGCATCTTTCTGCTGCTTCAAGTCTCTTCTTCATCTCTGAAGAAATTGTCCAGCATTCAATGCCATATACGACAGACATCACGTATCAATTCAGTACTCTTTTCTTTTCTTTTTTTTTTCTAACGAAGTTTTTCTATCGCTTAATATTTGCTTAGCATTTGGAAGGCATCTTTGGTCATCCCATTGCGTCTTCGGATTTCAATGTCGCTTTTTCCGTCCTTGTAATTTGTATTTTGGGCCCGTCCTTGCCTTTCAATAGTTGTAAATAATCCCACTGTGGAACAATTATTCAGAATGCTGTGAGTACCAACGGGAATTGGGCCTCGGGAAAGATGGGTGCACGTGCATAAATCTCTATTAATCAATGGTTTCTGATGCAGTCAGTTCTTTTAGTACCCAGTATATGGCTGTAATGGCTGGTTCCCAACATGTTTAATGGTTTCACAGTTACGGTCCAAACTGCAAGATCAGAGAACAGAGTTCGAATTCCTATCGAGTTCGCTACATGCACTTACGTACTAATGCCCTTGGGAAAGGTAGGATTCCACCTCTTTTCCCCCAACATGGGATAAATAGTAGATCAACCTATAAAAGTTTGATAAGCCGTAAAAAACAGTGATCACAGAAAAAATGCATATTAAAAATAATGATGTGCTGGTTCAATGCTTTAGCATTAACTGGCTTGATTTGTTTTACGACATATCAACACCTCAATGGGTTATTTAATCAAGATTTTTATTGCTGATAATATTTTTTCAAAAATATTTTGTTGGTACTATTTTTCCAAAAATGTATTGCTGGTAATATTTTTTTCAAAAGTGTATTGCAGGTAATAATGTGTTGCTGATAATAAATTTTTGAAAAATGTATTGCTAGTACAAAAACCTATATTTACACTTTCATTGTGCCTCCTAGTTTTGGGGGTTAACTATTTTTCCATAGCTGGGGGCCCTAACAGGTGCTACCACCCTGGGTCAAAGTGGACCTGGGAACACCAGCAATTAAGAGGTGGTTCTACACTCCTCAAAACCTCCTGATCAGAGGCCTAGCTGTTGAGCGTAGTTTATCGTCTTACCCAGGACACGGATGTAGTTTATCGTCATATCCAGGACGGTTTAGCATTAAACTGATTTAGCTCTACGACTGGTGAGCATTAACTGATAAGAGTTATCTCCCATTAAGTATGGAAAACAAAGTGAGGATAATATAGACTTATGGATTGTCTAAAGAGCGCAGTCCAGAATTCTATATTCTCTGAATCAGTAGAAATAATGCTCAAGGAACACAATGGTAAAACACGCTTCTGAATATTAATCAATATGAGTTATCTCCCCTAAGCATTGAAAGCAGAATATTAAGACTCTACACCGTTTAGTGAATAAATGCTCAACTCAAAATTCTATATTCTTTGATTCAGTAGAAAAAACAAACAAGAGACATAATGTTAAATATGGCTGCTGAATATTAATCGATACGAGTTATCTCCCCTAAGCATTGAACGTAAAATAAGAACACGCTACCTCGTTTCTGTCTATATCTCCGAGATGAGCTATTATAATTACTTGTATTATTTACTTTAATCGGACTGTTATCCTCATCTTCATTGCCATATTCACAACGTTTCGGCCGTTGTACGTTCCGGCCTTCTTCAAGGACTCATGGTCCAGTGGTTAAAGACGTTGGTTAGATCCAGTGACTAGACCCAAACAGTTGTGAGTTCAATACCAGAACACAGCAGCGGTGAACCAAAACTCGGAGAGATGAGTTAAAGGAAAATAACTGAGACATCCAGAAGAGGCATGGCATGTGGAACTAACACAATATACCCCAGTGGACGAAATAAAGTGTTCGGTTCGAAATTACAGTCGCCTGAAGAAGGCGTACAACAGCCGGAAAGTTGTGAATATGGCAAGGAGAGATGAGGATATCAGTCCGAATAATGTAAAGAATACATGCTACACCGTTTGTTGAATAAAAAGCCCAGTTTGAATTTCCAAGAGAACTCACCTTGTTCGAAGTCAGATACCTGAAGAAAATCGAAGGCTTGCTGAAACGTTATTAATATGCAGTGTAACCCGGATATAAGAGAGTTGTCGGGACCGGAGAAGAAGTCTCTTATATCCGGGTTTGGTCTATTTTGTTTAGGTAAGTATGGCTCTAATTTGGGATCAGAGAAAATCTCTCTTATATCCGGGTTTCTCTTATATCCGGGTCTCTTATATCCGGGTTACACTGTACCAACCAAGATGAGCAAAGGATATAATAATAAAATGTCTTTATCTAAAAGATTTATTCAAAAAAAATATTTAATAAATTTCTTTTTGTCATTTTAGTTCACACAGAACCAGTCAAGAGAGATCCAACAAGTAAGTTACCTTCTATTTTCTTTTGTTTAAATATTTTTATACTAAATTTCACCCAATACAAGGCTCGAGAGCAACACAAGATAGAGTTACAGTTAAAATGATAATGATTAATAAATTGTGAGATATGAATGAAAGAGGAGGTTTAAGAGATAAATATTATGCGGATAAGGAGGATAGATAACGATTGACTCTTGACTTGAAAAGGTTATTAGTGTAATGTTCTGGGAAGTGCCCATGCATAAAAGAAAAAACCTTGATCTAAAAAGAGTTGATCTGTGGTGACCTCAGTATGTACAGAGTTTGTCCTAAGAAGAACTAAAGTAAATTTACTAATCGGTGTCATCGCAAAAAGTGAATCGGGAGTCAAAAGCATCTGTCTATATCCCTGAGGTGAAGTAATATGTTTACATATATTATTTACATTATTCTGACTGTTATCCTCATCTTCATTGCCATATTCGCAACGTTTCGGCGTTTGTACGCTCCAGCCCTCTTCAGGTGATTGGAATTTCGAACCGGACCGTTTATTTAGTCCACTAGTTCCACGTACCATGCCTCTTCTGGATGTTTCAGTTATTTCCCTTTAACTCAACTTTCAATGTTTTTGGTTCACTTTGAGGATAAAGATGTTGATTACACGCAGTGACTAGACCCAAAGAGTTGTTACCAGACTACAACAAAACCCTACAGAAGGCCGGAGCATACAACAGCAATGAAGATGGGGATAACTGTTGCAGTTTTTTGTGTATATGTATTAACTAGTGAGCTAGCCAAAATGACTTGACTCACTTTATAGTCCACCAATAGAAGATTAACCAATCAGAAGACGTAGAACATTCAATCCGTCGTGTATAAAGGCGGCCATTTTGTTTACTCTATCCGAATGTCCAGTGCCAGCTTGTCAGGCGAAGAGGAACAGAAGGAAGAACTACGCTCTGCTACTTTACCGGGATATCCACTGCTAACCTGAACTACGCTTCATTACTGTCTTCGAAATATTCACTGTTAATCTCTGGATTCTATATTCAAAGACGACCGTCATCATGAACAACAATGACAACCCAAATAATCTAAATAATGTATACAAGCTAAGATGCTTGAGAAACGTCTAAGGGGCGCTAATCTACGCAAATTCTTCTTCAAAATATTATTGTTGTTTTTTTTATGAATAAACTATTTCAGTCTGAATTTCTGGCACGAGGAGTTATAATTATTTACATTATTTATATTCGGACCATTGTCCTCATCTTTGTTGTTTTTACTGCAACGTTTCGGCCGTTGTGTGCCTCGGCCTTACTCTTCTAATTGGAAGATTGGAGGCTTCGAGGAGAGTTGAACCATCTCTTAATTGCTATTGTTCCTAGGTCCACTCTGACCCAGGGTGGTAGCACTTGTTAGGGTCCCAGTTGGTGGCAAATAGTGATCCACCCTAACAAAGCACTATGAAATTATAGGAATTCATTATAATAGTAAAATCATTTTTATATAAAAAAAAGCCGACAATACATTGTATCTGTAGTTGAAGGAATACAATTGCATTCAAAATATACTTAGTTGAAGCCATAAAATGATTGTATCTCGCGTTTTTGAGATAAGAGAGAGAAATAAGACAAACTCGTAGGTAAGTATATAGAAGGTTTACTATATGTAGGTACACTTAGCAAATGGCTTATTGCTAACTCGGTATTTACTCGAGATTCCCACAGAGCGTGATGTGGCACAAGGCCGGTTTAACGTGGATTTTTCCCAGCCCGTAGGCCCGAGCAAAAATTCCCCGAAGACCCAATAATAAAGGAATCGGGGTTTTCTACCTCCCCAAATGAGACTCTGTCTTTCGGCATAACCTCGTCTGGGTTCCTCTCTGCCCGAAGACAGGGAGTTTAACAATTACTAAGTGCTTAGCGCGTCCCTAAGACCTAATGCTATCTCTCCTCCACGCCGTTTAACCCCGCTAATTTACATAAATGTCATTTATGTCCTATATGACTAAAATAGTGTTCAAAATATTTAGATTTCGGCATTAAATAACCCATGGAGGTGTTGATATGCCTGTAAACAAAATCAACCAACGAAACTTCATTGGAAACGGGCGATCAATAACTGATCTACACTCGTAGATTAAATAAAGGGTTCAGTTTGAAATTCCCTGTAGGTTACCCAGATCAATATACACCGGAGGAAGGTCGAAGTACACAATGGTCGAAACGTTGTGATAAAGACAACAAAGATGAGGACAATAATCCGAATATAAATTGTTAAATAGTTTATTTCAGTAGAAGCTTTAATATTCTGTTGAATTCTCTTCCAAATTTAAATCCAAAATAAAATTATATTGTCTTTTTTTTTCCAGGTATAATAATATTCGGTTTTGATATGCTCACCATGGGTCACTATCGGACCCCTATCATTTACCAATTCATTGACACTTTCCTTCCTTTGAGTGGCTACGGGCGTTACTCCATTTCGTCCCTCGCTTACTGCCCAGATACCTTCAATATTCCAGTCACATCGCTTATGAACAGAGACCCCTTTGACATACAACACGGTTTCCAAATCGGAATGAGACTTCCGGGTCTAGTGGACATCGTACAACAAATACAAACAGATATGGCGGACAACATCATGCGCAATGCCATCACAGGTCGCGCGGGAAATCAAGTGGCCGTACTGTTTATCGATCCGACTGTCACCGTCATCACACCGGAACTTCTTAGCGCGACCAACGCGCTAAAGCAACAAGGGGTCAAGCTGTTTCTGATCAGTATTGGTCAAAACACGTGGTCTCAGCCTCGAAACCTCAACTCAATGAGCAGT